TTTTAGACGTCATGTAAATTTTTTTAGTAATCTCGGTCGACAGTATATCTTCGATATATCGCCTTAACTTAAGTTTTAATATGTGAACAACTCATCTTAAATATATAAAAATTTGTTTCACTTTAATGTAACGTATTATAGTATTTCTTATTACAGTCTAGTCTCGATAACTTCGCACTCGATAATGCGAAAAAAAAATTCTTTTCCTTTAAAAGAAATTCGTGTTCAGTAATTCTCGATATTTATCGATTTGGATTTCAATGAAAATTTAAAAATAAATTGATCTTGCCATTTCGAATTATCGGGATTCGACTGTCTTATTTTTAATATAAGGCTTCAAAGTGCTCGACAAAAACTGTAAAATTAATTTATTCAAGTGTATTTTTATTTAATTTAAGGTAAGTTTTGTTTTTAAGTACAATTGCAAATACTGAGGTTAACTATATAGTACTTTGATTTACTTTATAATCTAGTATATACTTACACACATATATACATGTATATAGTAATGGAATCATTTCAAATATATACACTTTCGATATGTTTTTATTGTAACTGATTTAACTGGGAAAGCCGAACACCTGACTGACTTGCTTATGCAGCAGCCTAGCTCTTGCATCTTTAAGAGGTGCCGCAGCGGCTGCTGCTGCTGCTGCAGTCTGGCATAAAATGTGCAGTGGGGAAAACTTTATAGCCAAACAAAGAAAATCCTGCACAGACTTTGGCCATATGGCAAATATGGCAGCGCCTTCAACTCCGTCGTCGTCGTCGTCGTCGTCGTCGTCGCTGCACAGACTCCAGAAGTTTTTTGCTTAAATTTTTCAGTTTCTTTTGGCATTTGGTACGGCACAGCAGGCGGAAGGGCGGTGGTTGGGCGGACGGAGTGAAGGCAGGTAGGAGAATGCATTTTTAATGAATCCTGAAAAGGTGAATGTAACCTGGGCAGGTGAGAAAACGAGACCAAAAGGAAATGCAACAGAAAATGTTGCAAAAATTGAAAAGCGCAACTTTGACTTTGCTGTGGGTGGCCAACTGTGCAGCTACATGTGTGTGTTTGTGTGTGCTTGTGTGTGTCTGTATAAGTGTTTGGTTTCTCGTCAGAGCGAACTTCAGCAGGCAGCGGCGCAGGCCAAACTCTTAATTGAATTAAACTTTTTAGCTGCAAAGTGAAAGCAAAGCAAAAGCAAACTAAAAAAAAAAAATAAATATATAAAATAAAAAAAATGTTAACCAATTTTTTCTTGCGTTGTCTTTTTGCATCCTTGCAGCGGTGGGGCATGCTGGTTTTGCCAGCATATTTGTTGCACTGCAAACATCGGGGACGGTCGGAGTGGGCAAACAGCATAAATAGAGTACGCTAATGATAATTGATTGGCCGTAAAATCGCGTGGGCACATTGAAATGTGTTTAAAGTGAATCAAGTCATTGAATTCAATTTGCCTTCAAATTGGTTTTACAGAATTTGTTGCTAACATTGTGAGTGAGTTTAAGTAATTAAAAAATCAAAATTGAGTTTCTGTAGAATATGGTATAATAAAATGTACCTCTATTATTGCTTATTTGCTCATCAATGAAAATATCATATTGTCGGTAGAGATTCTTCGTCATTTTCATTGACTCCATAAAGATATTAGCCTCTGGCTTTGTCTATGGCTGAGTTTCACAACGTTGCATAGCAACGAAATACTAACAGATCCTCACTAAATTTACCAGAAAACATATTTATACGATTTCAATAAGAATTCAAAAATTATGATATCGTCAAATTACTCTTTATTTGCCATTTTCATAAATTTAATTTAATTTATTTGTAACTTGCCAGCCGTCCAGTGGAGAGCGGGAGAGAGGGAATCGCTACGAAGTCCAGAAGCTTTTATTTATTATTTATTATTATGTAATTTATTTCTGTGTGGCTCTGCTCAGCTCTGTAAAAACGCTTTCTTTCTGCGCTTTGTCTATTTCCCTCTCTCTCTCTCTATCTCTCTCTCTCTGTGTTTCGCCCTCTCTACTTCTCTATTTCTCTGCCTCCCTCTCTCACTCATTCTACCTTATACTTTCTCTCTCTGCATATGCATATCTCCCTCTCTCTATCTCTCTCTCTATCTCTATCTCTCTCATTTTCTCTCTCTTTCTCTCTACAGACAGACTCTCACTCTCTCTCTCACACTCACCCTCTCTGTGACTTTGTCTCGTTCAATCTCTATTTTATTCACTATCCCGGTGTATCACTCTTTACCTACCTTTCATTTCTCTTTCTGTCTCCCTTCTTTCTCTCTATCATTTACTCGCTATATATATTTGTGACTTAAATCAGCTTTACTTAATTCAAAATAAATAATTCAGATAGTATAATTCTATCTGTTCCTATCTTCCTCTATCATTATTAATTTTATTATTTCATATGGAAAACCAAAGGCTTACTAGCTTAACATTGCAGATAAGACCTTGGTCATATTAATATGGAATATAAGTAGATTAAGTCCGACCCCAAGCAGATGTTTTTCAAATGCATTGCAAATGCAATTTCATTTGTAATGTAATGAATTATTGATGGCCACTTTTGCAAGAGCATCGAATATTCAGGCATAACATTAAGGAATATGTTTTCATAATGCGTTTTGCATTTCGCATTTTGCATTTCGTATTTCTATGCAAAAATTGCCACTTTTATTTTATTTATATCCTTTGAAGTGAATTGAATTGATTTTTGGCCATTTCCCAATTTCCCGATTTCCCAATTTGCAGCCGTAAGCCCCACGCGCCCCAAACGTGCTACATTTAATTGAATTTGCACAAAAATTATAAATTCACACAATTGTCCGTTGTGGGGCTTCGTTTTGCGCAATTTCCGCACTTTAAGTGGTATTTTGTGAAATTATTATAAATTATTTATTTGCCGCTTGGGGGCGTCCAACAAAAAAAAAAAAAAAAAAAAAAAAAAAAAAAAAAAAAACAATAATCAAAACAATGAAATTTGACTGAAAGCAACAAAAACAACAACAACAAGAGTTGAGCAATAACAATGACGCACGAATAGAAAATGTACAAAAATTAACTTGATTTCCGTTTACGAGCATCGAAAATGTAATTTAAATGCGACGAGGAGAAGGTGCAAATTTATATACATAAAAACAAATATATATGTATATATAGATCAACTGACTGCAATTATGGAAAGCGTTTTGGCATATGGAAGTCGTTATAAATTTTAATTAAATTCACGTGGAGCGACAGCAGCTTAGTTCGCGGACCTATGAGGCTGACATATGTGGGCCATAAAACGTCAAGACGGGGCTGACAAATAAATTGAAAAATGTGGAAACTCAATGCGCAGTGCGACAAGCTCAAAATGGGAAACCAGTCAATTTTTATGGCATACTTTTAGGCGGGCAGCAGTTCACAATAAGTACACAAGGTACATAGGTACACACACACAGTCACACATAGAAAGGAAAATGTGTACAAATTCAAATGAATTCAAGTAATCGAAGAGCAGATACTCTGCATAGTAATTTGATAAAATTTATAGATAATGCGAAATTAAATATATATATATTTAAGGAATTTTCTTCAAGCTTAGAAATCGCACATATTTTCAGGTACAATACTTATATATAGTAAATATAACATATAAAACGGCATAACAGCTTCTTACCATGCTCATAAATTTCATATTAATTCATATATTATACGATAAACAGCTCATGAAAAATAAATATAAACAATTTACTTCATGCTTATAACTTTCATATATATTTTTATATTACTATACTACATAGTCATAGGGCATACAAAAACAAACTGAAATGAAAATATTGACGCTAAGGGTGGAAATAAAGTACGCGCAGAAGAGAATTCGGGTGTGAGTACAGCGAATGCTGAGTACGGCAAACGCTGCCCCGCCCACGAAATGTAATAAAAATCATGTAAGCAGATATGTAGCATTCTGAATTTATGGGTCCTCGATGTAAACTTTTGAATGCTAATGGAAGCAAACAGTCAGCAAAAATAAAGAAATAAAAGACTAAAGAAAATGTGAAACTATATGCAGGAGACAGATGGAAAAGAATACAGATGTGTACAATATTTAGCTGGAAGTAAATGTGAAGAGAGAAGTACAACAGAAAATGTATTAAAGATATTTTCTAAATAT